GGCTCGGTATACCAAGGGTATACTTTGCCCGCTCTTTCACCTTTCCGCTTATCCCTCACCCGTTTCCTGTCCGGTTTTTGCAAACCGTCAGTAGATGTGGCGGGCTCGGGTTGCGTTCGCAGTTACGCGGACGACTTCTTCTAGGCCCAGACCTAGGAGTTTTGAGTAGTTCTGTAGGGACGAACAATCTATTCATAAGAAATAACGAGCGACACAACTTTGGGTGGTAGGTAGTGAGTTAACGAATGTGGGTAGGCGATCGGTATTCAAGTAGCGAGTTCGTCCAAGTTGGGATAGTATGAAGGTATACTTCTTCCAAAGGAAGAGAGGCAAGGAAACTTCTACCGGTGTTTGGCGGTTTACTAGGATCTGCGGTAGTATTCACGCGCATATGGGCGTCCGCGTCCACCTCCGCGACCGTTGTATCCGCCACGGCCAGAGCCACGTCCTCGAGAGCCGCCTCGGAAGTTCCCCCGACCTCTATTGGCATGCTGTGCCGATCCGTCGTCGTTGTTGCCGCCATTGGTGGGGAAAAGAAGATGGTCGTGGGGGAGCTCGGACAGTTGGGCCGGTGGCCCCCACCATCCGGGGCTGGCGACGCTATGCGCGGATGCATTCTTGGCAGCGTATGGGCAGAGGAACGTTGGGTGCTGAGCGCTCTTGCATAACATGCATTCCGACTGTTTTCCCAACGATCTGGGACGGAAGCCGTATTCTCCTGCTGAGAACTGGAGCCGGCGCATGACTTTTGAGACCCGTTCCTGCAGCTCGCCCTCGAGTGGGTCCATGAAGAATACCACCACCGGTGTTGTCGATGGGTGGTGTACGAGGCGGGCGTGGACGGTGTTGACAACATCGAAGACCCGCTTGGGTCCCAGACCTCCTTTTGCCTGCGTGGCCTGGTCGAGTTCGCGGTATGTGTCGGTATCGGTAAACGCAGCGCGGACGAAACCAGCGCGTGCCCAGGCTTCGACGTCCTCGGGGTCGTCGGGAGAGCCGATGAGGTCGTGATGACCAATGACCCATTCGGCGTCGTTGGGTTCGTACCGTTGAACCCAGAATCCCAATGCCGTGTGAACACCATATGTGCCTTGCGCTAAGATTGCCCTCGCCCCTTCATCGCTCTCCGCCAGGACTGAGACCGAGATTGGTCCGCCGTATTTGTCGTTGCCGACGTTTTCCCCGTCAATGGACGCGGGGACCGGGAACTTGATCTCCAAATTCTCGGTGGGGGCGCGGACTCGGAGCGCGACTCTGAGTTGGTCGAGGAGTGGGGTATCGTAGGTCGTATTGCGGACATGATTACCACCGTTAGCAAGGACGGCTATCAAGTGGTTGCCTCCTTTACCCAGGAAGCTTTGGGTGTAGGAGGTGGCCCAGAAGCGTGTAGCACGCGAGGTCGGGACGTAGTGTCGGGGGATTGATGGATCAAGCTGTTGGTACGGGGGATTGCCCGCCTCGTCTGCCGGTGGTGGGCCTTGCGGGAGAACCGTCTGGAAGTAGGGGTTCCGCGCCATGCATACGGGCCGATACGATTTCAAGTCGTCGTCAGTGGGGAAGGCGAAGACTTGGTTCACTACCGCAGCTGCAGCGGGGGCGGCCTCGGCGTTGGCAATGTCAAACAGTAGTACCGGGCGGTTTGCAGCGGCGAGGGCTGCAAGACGTTGTTGTTCGAGTCGCTCTCGTTCGAGAGCCTGCTGCTGCGCGAGAGCCTGCTGTTGCGCGAGAGCCTGCTGTTGCGCGAGAGCCTGCTGCGCAAGTGCTGCCTGTGTTTCAATGCGTTGTTGCTCTTCCATGTCGTCGTCCATGTCTGATTCAGTAATAACTGGGCTCGGTGGGGGAGGAGAGGACACGGATGGTGCTGGTGTTGGGGACGGAGAGCGTGCTGTGGCAGTTTCGTCGTCTGGGCTGTCTGAGTCCGGGTCGAGTGTCTCTCCGGTGGTAGTTTCAAGCGAGGACGTTCCGGGAAAGAGAAGGGGGTCGAGCGCGATGGGAGCTGCCGGCCTGTATGCTTTTCGGACTTTGGGAGTCTCCCGTTCGTCTGCGTTGCGATCTGCGGGTCTTTGGAGGTCTGCGTCCGACGTTCGGCGGTATTTGTTCACCGGTCGGGATGCCAGTGTGGTGCTGGGTTTGGTTAGCGTGTCGCCATCCGGCGCTTGCGTCGTACACACCTCGAGCTTGCCAGCTAGCTCTTTTTTCTTTCTTTTGGTGGTATGCGGTCAAGTTTTGAGGCGTGATGTTGGCACGTGCAGCTATCCAGTAGAATTGTTGCTGGAGTGGCTTGTGAGCAGGGTGCGGGCCCGACGCATCGAGTTTGCTTTTCATTTTCGCCCCTAGCTATATGTTGGGGACAGTGTCCGCGGCTTGCGTTGATTTCGGTTCCGTAGGGCCAGAGATTCAGGGCCTTTTCATGCGAAGGGCAGTATTGGGGTCGGGACGAGGCTTTTCTCTATTCAAGCTGCGCTGCGTCGGGCTATTTCGCATGGGCATCGTGGTGGGAAGTAGGAAGACGTTTTGTATTCCATTACATACGTCGTTCATGTTAGCTGTCTAGCCCTTCATCTCCGCAAATGACGGCGCAGGCATGGTATATAGCGCTGCGAGGTCCTATGGACCCTCCCCCTATGAGGGATCCCAGTTGGTATCTGGGTAGGTGCTTATTGCATCCTACGCTGCTCGTTGCAGCGAGGGACGCTCAAAATCGCTCCCATCACCAAAGACTGGTGGTGGTCACAGATCAAGAGCCCCTCAATCAAAGGATGTTGTCCGAGTCGGATCCATGGGCACCCGACTCGTCCTCGCCGCCGTCGTCCCCAACCGCTTATGGCGACTCATCACCACCATCCTCTCCTCGTCCAGAGCCTGAGTACCTCGAACCATCCAGCATTCCTGGCCCTGTCGATCCCTACTCAGCGTCTGCAAAGGCCTGGATTCCTCCCGACACCGAAAAGGGCGCAAAGAAGTCGAAAACGCGGCCTCGTCCGTCACCATCTCTCGAGCGCAAAGGCAAGAAGCGGCGCACAATTGGCCCTGAGTACTCGGAAGAGACGCTCTTCACCCCAACGCCACCGACATCCCAATCGTCGGTGGTTATCGAAGAGGCCGTTTGGGACGATGCCGCATGTAAGGCGATAGACAGTGGGAATGGGAGCGTTATGTTGGAGTGCGTGTCCATTTCGCTGCGTTTCTGTTTAGTTGCTGACTTACCCAGCGGACGCGATTTGACCAGCATCCCGACCCAGTTCATTGAAGACTTGAGGGCCCTCTTCGTGCCAAAGGATGTGCCCAGCGCCACAACACGAACGTTCAGTCGCGTAAAGACTGCTCCCGCTATTCTGGGGCCTGGGTCGTCGCGTCTTGCGGGAGAAATCACGCTGTATCTGGCGAGCAATCGCATTTCGACTATACCGAGGGATTTGTTCCAGTTGGAGAGGCTGACAGTGTTGAGTCTACGTGAGTCTTTGCCTTTCATCACGCGTCTATACTGAAACGAGTTCAGGGAGCAATCGTCTCCGCAGCCTACACCCGGACATACGATTTCTAAAGAACCTGCACACCCTCAACTTGGGAATCAACCAGCTCAAAGACTTGCCGGCGGAAATCAACCAGTTGTCCCTGCGCAATCTGCATCTATTCCCCAATCCGTTCCTCGACAAGGAGGACGCGACAGCCATACAGACCGGCGGTCGGATTCTCTCGCGCACGAAGCGCTTCATTCCGCGCGTTCCTCGCCTCTCCGAACTTTGCCTTCGTGCGTTGCTCTCGTCTGAGCTGCCTGGAAGCATGGTAAACCTCGAAAGCCGGCGGCTTGCGAAGTACTACGAGCTTCCGCTGCTCGAAGACGTCGTTCCCGACAAGCCAGCTTCACCTGGGAAGAGACGATTCCAGCACATTGTTCCTGAGCCGTTCCGGCGGGCCCTTGACGCAATCCATCCCGGCAGTGTCTATGCGTCCGACGACTATGACGCCAGTCCGGACCCTGAGCCTGAACTTGGCGTATGTTCCTCGCCGCTCCATCCTGCGAGCCGTCCGTCTGTGTTTGTCCAGCTTGCGGAGGAAAGATACTCGTGGGAGACGGTCGTCGCAGGTGTGGATGTAGGTGGGCTTGTGCCGCTGAGATGGCGCGGCTGTACGGTGGGTTGTCTCGCGTTTCTTGGTGGGGAGGAGGCAGCAGACGAGAAAGAGATGGAGATGGATGTGGATGTGGATGTGGTGAAACGCGTGCAGCTTTCATCGGGCGGCCTAGAGTTCGACTTTGAGGACGATGGGTAATTCGTGTGTATACATACTATTCTGTACCAATATTCGACCACTGTACCATTTGTGAGTCCGTTCAATTTCATACTCAGTGGACGCAACGCCCAGTGTGGATATTCGAGGCAGACTAGATAGTTCGCGGTGGGACGTGACGCGATCACGTGCCTAACGCGTTACGCGTCTGGCAATCGAATGCTGGGTTGTGTGGTGGTCTTGAAGAGAGGGCGCACTCAGCGCACTGATATACAGGATATATCATCATGAATGGACGCGAGAGGTTGAGGAGGTCAGAGGGATGCCAGTGAGGGAAAGAGGTCGAGGTGATCTGTTATCATCATCTGTAAGCCGCGAGGGAGAATGAAGGTGGATTCTTCCAGTCTGCCAGTGAAGGGAATCTACGCCCTTTCCATCTCGACACTAAGGCAGATGCTCGAGGCCTAGGGAGAAAGAAAGCGCTGATGTACGGCGGAGAAAGATTTTGATGCTACACGGCGCCGGCGCGACACGAGTACAGTGATGATAATAAGAGGTCCGCGCTGGCTCATTCATCTTCGCTACCCACTCTAGCAAGCAGCAGCGCGTGTTTCGTCACCGCCAGCTGAAACTAGGCGAATGGGGGAGTCAAAGTTGAGTGGAATCAACAGAAATTGATGAGACATCAAACCGTTTCCTCCATATCTCCCGAACGCATGCTTCGTTTCGGACGATTCCACCACCATCTGAAAGGCCGGAAGACGAATATGACACGCATGGTGAAGCGGTTATCATGCTTGCCTTCCAGTTGAGGCGATTTCCGCTAACCGTTAGCAAGCGGCAGGGGTTCGACTCCCCTTGCGTGTATCTTTTTAGGCTCTTTCATCACTTACCGAGCTTGATTTTATCATCTAGCCCAATGCCGAACTTCTCTTCCCAACTCCTGGTCAAGCGTGGTCGTCGTACGTGTCCAGACGACCACCTTAGACCAGATCTACCGTTCTATGTTCCCCAGTGCAAAGACCTCTGATAGTGCCCTGCCCTCCCTTCCCGTTGAACGCTTCCTTCTCAAAATATGATAGGCCGACAGAGTAGCGTCCCTAGCAGCTCTCCATGGATTTTCAAAATTTCCTTTCCAGAACTTGCCAAGATAATGCGCGAGCAGTAAAGTGGCAAGTGTGAAAGATCACACGGAAGATAACTTGAAAGGAATCAGAGATGAGGGGCAGCACAGACAGTAAGATTCACTGAGTTCTACCTACAAACAACTTGAAACAAGAGGAGCAGAAGCCTACAGTCCAAAGAGGACTCGAACGAGGAAAGCAAAATAGGAGAGATCGCGTGCCATAGAGGCATTATGGGGAAAGAGACATAACGTGGAGGACGCATCGACGCGTCGTGTTTGAGGGACAAGGACCCTGAGAAGGGCAGGGAATACGCGAAGAGTCAACGGAGGGGAAGGAGATTGAAACAACGCGTCAAGGACGCGTTGCAGACCAAGTCCCTACGGAAGGTCCGACTCCGGGTGGGTTTCCGAAAAGTCGAACATGAAACAACGCGTCAGACGCGTCGCGGACAAAATCTTAAGCCATAGGCACTGATTTCTCTCTTTCTCCCACAGTAAAACTGTTGCCACAGTCGACGTCGTCTATGCCCTCAAGAGGTCAATTCACTGTCAGTTCAAACGCCAAGAACGGGAAGCCGGTTGGATTTGAAAATTCGTTGGGCAGGTATGCCATAGCCGAAGGACCGCACAACAGACTGCTGCCGTGGTCTTTGCGTTGTTGCTCACCCTTTGCATTGGAGATCGCAGAACTCGAGCCTTGTTCTTGACACAATCTCGACAGCAAAGACTAAGTACCTGCCAGTGGCCGGGCCGTCAATGGCCAGCACGGGGCATTGGCACCGCGGCTATTCTTCTGTCTCATACAGCCCTCGCCAGTGCGAAGAAGTTCAGGGGGGCCAGCAGCGAAGTCAGAACGGCGGAGAGTGGGTCCGGTGCGGCGCACAATAGTAGGTTTACCTGGTTTTCATAGAGTTTTATAAACCGGTTTCTGAGCATCCGAATGGTTTTTAAAAGTAAACCGAGTACTCATTGCGTGCAGCAGCGTGCTCCAGAATGAACTTGTAGTGGATGGAACACGTCACGTTGATGTGACATCACGCACACATCCGTTCAGTTGGCCTCCATGGCGAGTTCAGCTCCTGCGAGCACTTCGGCGGACATGCTCGCCGGGATCTTCACCGGGCTAAAGAACAAGAACCCAGATATGCGGCTGCAGAGTGCGATGGAGCTACGACGCTATATAGCCAGGAGTGCGGGCGACATGGCGGGCGACGGCGACGGCGAGAATATCAGTCGGAGGCTGTTCGAGCTCATACACTCGTCAAATGGCACGGATAATATCGGGGGTCTGGTCGCGATTGGTGCGTGCTCATACGTCCGGTGGAATGAACAGACTCTCAACTGCTGTAGACCATCTCATTGACGCGGAGGGCGAAGTCGCCATCGACTCGCAACAAAATCTATTCCGATTTTACAACTACGTTAAACACCTACTCCCCAACCCAGACGCATCCCTCATCCTCGCCGCGTCAAAAACACTTGGACACATCCTTGCAGTTGGCGGACCTGGATTCGGCGAAAGTTTCATGGAACCCCAAGTCCAAGCAGCCATTCTGCTTACAGCCTCTACGCACGGCGGGAGTTCGGAAAGACACGATTCGTTGGGCATGGCACGCTACGCTGGGGCTCTGATATTGAAAGAGCTCGCACTCAATATGCCTTCTCAATTTGTCCCCCATTTACCCGCTGTGTTGGATGGAGCGGTATTGGCGCCTTTGCGGGACTCGAGGCTAGTGGTAAGAGAGGCGGCGGCAGAATTACTAGCTGCGTGTCTCGAGATCAGCGCCCAGCGGGAGCGGCAAACGCACGGGCAAACGCAGGCTGCCGGCCATCTCCAAAAGATCCTCGCAGACGCCCAGGCTGGGCTCAAATACGCGCAGCCAGAGGTCATTCACGGCAGCCTGCTCGCATACCGCGAGTTACTTCTCCACGCAGGCGGTTTCATGAAAGACGCTTTTATCGAGGCCGCCGAGGCTGTCCTCAGCTTCCGTTCGAATCGCGACGCCGCCGTCCGCCGCATGGTCGTCTCCATGATACCCACCCTGGCGTCGTATAACACTCCCGCGTTCAAAGACCAGATCCTGCACAAGGCAATGAACCACCTGTTCTCTCAGCTCGACAAGAAGGATGAGCGCGACTACGCACTCATGGCGATTGGGCTGACAGCGACAGCAGTCGGCGCGGAAATGAAGCCGTTCTTGGAGACGATCATGAACCATATCAAAGTGAGGCTGAGGGAGAGTGCGACGACAGCTGGAGCGACCAGTGGGCGAGGGTGCGTGCTTAGTAGCTAGATTTCTTTTGACATTTATCGATATACAGTCGAGCACCACCCCCGCCAGACTCTTTGCTCGCAGCACTGGGTCTCCTCGCCGCCGCCGTTGGACCCACGCTCACGATGCTCTTGCACGACCACCTCCACCTGCTCTTCGCTGCCGGTCTTTCTGAGGCTCTCCGTGTCTGTCTCACCCAGATCGCGCGCGCGATCCCACCGCTGCTAGGCATCATTCAGGAGCGGTTGCTTGAGGTACTGGGTGGAATGCTCAGCGGGACGGGCTACACACGTGCAGGGATGCCTCCCGGGCCAAGTGCGGCCAGCCTCGGTCACAATGGGAGTGGGCAAGGCTCGACGAGTAGCCTAGCTCCCTCAACGGGTGCACCTGGGACCCATGTACCATTGGCGAACGCGCCCCCACCGAGCAAGGAGCAGCTCACCCTCGCTTTAACAACTCTCGCCACATTCGACTTTTCGGGTCACATCCTCGCAGACTTCGCCCAGACAAACGCGTTACCGTATATCGAGGACGACGCGCCAGAAGTAAGAAGGGCCGCAGCCGGCGCATGCGTCAGGCTATTTGGAGGTGGTGCACCGTCAGGATTGGGTGGTTTCGAGGACGGTTACGAGGGCGGAAGTGCCAGCAGTAGTGTTACAATCGCTGGCGTGGGTTCAGGAAGCGGAGGGTCGTATCAGCATGCGCTGGAGGTTGTGGGCGACGTCCTCGGGAAGCTCTTAACGGTAGGGATTGCGGATCCAGGTGAGGGCTTTCCGAAACTACTTGATGACGCTAACGCTCATCTCAGACCCCTCCATTCGACACACACTCCTCTCATCACTTCTCGCGTCTCCGCCCGAGGCCTTCGACAAGCACCTATCCCAGGCAGAGAACGTCCGGAGCTTATTCATCGCGCTCAACGACGAAGTCTTTGAGAATCGGGTGGTCGCGGCTGGGCTGATTGGGGTGGGTTCCCGCTTGATTCTTTATAGTTTTAACCATTTTCCTCCAGCGCATGGCCAGATACAATCCAGCATATGTGATGCCCTCATTACGCAAAACGCTCATCCAGTTGTTGACGGAGTTGGAATACTCGAGCGTTGCGTGCGTATTATGCCATTCATGTTCTCTTTGAACTCAGACCACTTCCAGGCTGAATCGGGAGGAATCAACGCGTCTATTAACGCTCCTCGTACATCACACCCAACGGTTGATTGCGCCATACGCACTACCTATGCTTTCTGTCCTCTTACAGCATGGACAGTCCTCAGCCTCATCATCAACTGTCCCTGCAAGCACGAACGTCTCCGCATCAATGCTGATTTGCCTTGGTACACTTGCCTCTGTCGCAGGCGACGAAGCTCGTGCCTGTCTGCCGCAGTTGATGCCACTTCTCGTTCTTGCTTTACAAGATCCCAGCCTAGCGAAGCGCGAGGCTGCTTTGAATGCATTGGGGCGGGTGTGTAGCAGCACTGGTTACGTTGTGGACCCACTCCTCGACTACCCTCAACTGTTACCTGTGCTAGGAAAGATGCTCCGGGCGGACTCCAGCTCGGGTGGTAGCCTGAGCATTGACACCAAAATGATCAAGGGCGGAGGCGGAGGGAAAGGATCAGGAGGCGGCGCTGCAGAGGCGGTAAAGAGGGAGGTGGTCAAGGTCATGGGCGTGCTAGGTGCTGTAGATCCCTATCGGCGGAAGGTGCGATTTCTTTTTGGCGTCTTTGGGTGGTGCTGATATATTTTGGCAGCTCGCTGCACCGGACGATGCGGGAAGCGACTCCGAGATTACAATGGTTAACCGAGTACCGCTCGTATCGGCGGCGGAACCACCAGCAACGAGTACCAGCACGTCCTCAACGGACGATTACTTTCAGACAGTCGTCATGTCTGGGCTTCTTCGCGTGCTCAAGGATCCTGCTTCGAGCGGGCAGCATCATACCGTTATTGAAGCCATAATGGCCATCTTCAAGACGCAAGGCCTCAAGTGCGTGGGAAGCTTACCACAGGTGAGTGCTATTTTCGATTTCTGATTGCCGTGTATGACGAGACGGTGTTGACAGATCATGCCAGCATTTGCAGCTGTCACCCGCTCCTCTGTTCCTCGCCTCCAAGAGTTCCATCTGCAGCAGCTCGCGATCCTCATTGGCATTATCAAGCATCATGTTCGGAATCATGCCTCAGAGGTTTTGGGTCTAGTCACTGAGCTTTGGGACAACTCTACGCTGCAGACTCCAATCGTTGTGCTCATCGAAGCTGTCGGTCGTGCGCTGGCTGCTGAGATTAAACCCTTCCTCCCGACGATCCTTCCACTATTGCTCAAGGTGTTTGCTTTTGAAGGAGAGCTGAGTGAAAAGCGGATGAATACCCAGGTCAAGATATTGGAGGCTTTCCAGACGTTCGGCGCCAACATCGAGGAATATCTTCATCTCGTGATACCTATCATCATGCGTGCAGCCGAGTCACCTTTG